TTACACAATCAATCGTTAGTGAATATGCCAGTCATCGATATGTATTGTAGTCAAATGAATGTATCGGCCATTGTAACATGAATATATGATGTGTATACAGTCCAAACTACAGTGTAGTATCGTGTGTTTTGAATGTGTTCCAGTTGCATCCAATTCAGTCGGCAGTCGTGACTATGACATGTTTCCAATTTAGTTGACGATATGGCCTGATGCATGTCCAGTATATAGTATGCATGTATACTCATGTTCAGTGTCAATCGCATGCATGTAGTGTCACTATTGGTCAAAATATATCCAATTTTGGTATCATGTCAAATACTAGTGGTAAGTATAAATTGTATATTTTTTTTGTAATTTCATGGCAATACATGCATGCATCGTACATACCAATGCAATATCTATATACTGTAGCAGTTTCATGCAACTAGTGTCAGTATTGGTCAAGATATTCGACATCAAACACGTCAAAACGACACTTTCGGACATGCATTTGATGGCCATGATACACATTGATATACTGCCCCAATGACGACGTAATCATATACACAATACATGACTGTATGTGTGCCATACATTGCAGTTGATTTCGACATTGTATGACCACTGTAGACCGAGTTATTAACACGCCAAACATCGACTATAATATCCAACCTACAAAACGTCAGCTATTTAATTATTGTGTTATCAAACATGCATGGATTGTATTGAAATTGTACATGATACAATACCAAGTATATACGAGTATTGTCATGTCACCATATCAACACAGGCTTGTGTATTGGTTGTGAAATTGACCATTTAGTACGCGATTGTGATGATGCAAATGGTCCACTTTGAACATGTATAACTTGGCCAATAGCAGTTATTTACCAGCCATATTTAAACTGGTTGTGTATATGGTATATCACCATTGATTGAGCATGCATATGCACGGTTTGCAGACATTTATAATTTGTGTTGAGTGTGTTCCAGTTGCATCCAATTCAGTCGGCAGTCGTGATTATGACATGTCTCCAATTTGATTGACGATATGGCCTGATGCATGTCCAGTATATAGTATGCATGTATACTCATGTTCAGTGTCAATCGCATGCATGTAGTGTCACTATTGGTCAAGATATATCCAATCTTGGTATCATGTCAAATACTAGTGGTAAGTATAAATTGTATATTTTTTTGTAATTTCATGACAATACATGCATGCATCGTACATACCAATGCAATATCTATATACTGTAGCAGTTTCATGCAACTAGTGTCAGTATTGGTCAAGATATTCGACATCAAACACGTCAAAACGACACTTTCGGACATGCATTTAGTGGTCATGATACACATTGATATATTGCACCAACGACAACGTAACTATATACACAATACATGACTATATGTGTGCCATACATTGCAGGCCAGTTGGTCAAGTTTTGCGACTATAATGCATGTTTTTGATTGCGATTCGACGACTGATTTGGATGGTGTTTTGGATATCGTGTATAGTTTGACAGTTTGTGCGTTCTATACATGCCAGTATATCAAACATACTGTAGTTTGTCGTCCCGAGTTGATTGCAGTTGTCCCTGACATTGTACGACCATTGTAGACCGAGTTATTAACACGCCAAACATCGACTATAATATCCAACCTACAAAACGTCAGCTATTCAATTACTGTGTTATCAAACATGCATGGATTGTATTGAAATTGCACATGATACAATACCAAGTGTATACAAGTATTTTCATGTCACCATATCAGCACAGGCTTGTGTATTGGTTGTGAAATCGACCATTTAGTACGCGATTGTGATGATGCAAATGGTCCACTTTGAACGCATATAACTTGGCCAATAGCAGTTATTTCCCAGCCATATTTAAACTGATTGTGTATATAGTATATCACCATTGATTGAGCATGCATATGCACGGTTTGCAGACATTTATAATTCGTGTTGAATGTGTTGTATGTGACCATTTGAAACTCGACTAATTGTGGTGTATTTTGACATGTATTTTGACATGTATATTGACTGATGTTTAGCGTCTGTTCATGTGTCATTGATGCACCATTGATGTGCCATTGATGTGCCATTGATTGAGTATGGTCGATGTAATACTATACACATTATAATCACGCAATAACAGTCAGTATTCATGCATAAAAACATCAAATTCAATCATGAATTGGTTGCGTATTTCAGCTACTATGACAACATGAGTTTGATGGCATACCGTTCAGCAATGATATTGATTGTTTGGACATTGTTTCAGACATCCAGTCAAACACGTATGATCATGTTTGATATTTGGACAAGATGCCGCGTCTGATATTCGGACAATATTGCATGTAGTTTTATCAATATTGATGCTATCGTATTCATGTATTGACCATTGTAATATGCATATATGATGTGTATACAGTCCAAACTACAGTGCAATATCGTGTGTTTTGAGTGTGTTCCAGTTGCATCCAATTCAGTCGGCAGTCGTGACTATAACATGTTTCCAATTTAGTTGACGATATGGCCTGATGCATGTCCAGTATATAGTATGCATGTATACTCATGTTCAGTGTCAATCACATGCATGTAGTGTCACTATTGGTCAAAATATATCCAATTTTGGTATCATGTCAAACACTAGTGGTAAGTATAAATTGTATATTTTTTTGTAATTTCATGACAATACATGCATGCATCATACATACCAATGCAATATCCATATACTGTAGCAGTTTCATGCAACTAGTGTCAGTATTGGTCAAGATATTCGACATCAAACACGTCAAAACGACACCTTCGGACATGCATTTAGTGGTCATGATACACATTGATATATTGCACCAATGACGACATAATCATATACACAATACATGACTATATGTGTGCCATACATTGCAGGCCAGTTGGTCAAGTTTTGCGACTATAATGCATGTTTTTGATTGCAAATTGACGACTGATTTGGATGGTGTTTTGGATATCGTGTATAGTTTGACAGTTTGTGCGTTCTATACATGCCAGTATATCAAACATACTGTAGTTTGTCGTCCCGAGTTGATTGCAGTTGTCACTGACATTGTACGACCATTGTAGACCGAGTTATTAACACGCCAAACATCGACTATAATATCCAACCTACAAAACGTCAGCTATTCAATTACTGTGTTATCAAACATGCATGGATTGTATTGAAATTGCACATGATACAATACCAAGTGTATACAAGTATTTTCATGTCACCATATCAGCACAGGCTTGCGTATTGGTTGTGAAATAGGCCATTTAGTACGCGATTGTGATGATGCAAATGGTCCACTTTGAACGCATATAACTTGGCCAATAGCAGTTATTTCCCAGCCATATTTAAACTGATTGTGTATATAGTATATCACCATTGATTGAGCATGCATATGCACGGTTTGCAGACATTTATAATTCGTGTTGAATGTGTTGTATGTGACCATTTGAAACTCGACTAATTGTGGTGTATTTTGACATGTATATTGACTGATGTTTAGCGTCTGTTCATGTGTCATTGATGCACCATTGATGTGCCATTGATTGAGTATGGTCGATGTAATACTATACACATTATAATCACGCAATAACAGTCAGTATTCATGCATAAAAACATCAAATTCAATCATGAATTGGTTGCGTATTTCAGCTACTATGACAACATGAGTTTGATGGCATACCGTTCAGCAATGATATTGATTGTTTGGACATTGTTTCAGACACCCAATCAAACACGTATGATCACGTTGATATTTGGACTGTATACACATCATATATGCATATTGCAGTGAACAATATTGCATACAACTTTATCAATATTGATGCTATTATATTCATGTATTGACCATTGTAATATGTATACATGATGTGTATACAGTCCAAACTACAGTGTAATATCGTGTGTTTTGAGTGTGTTCCAGTTGCATCCAGTTTGACCGGCAGTCGTGATTATAACATGTTTCCAATTTGATTGACGATATGGCCTGATGCATGTCCAGTATATAGTATGCATGTATACTCATGTTCAGTGTCAATCGCATGCAACTAGTGTCACTATTGGTCAAAATATATCCAATCTTGGTATCATGTCAAATACTAGTGGTAAGTATAAATTGTATATTTTTTTGTAATTTCATGACAATACATGCATGCATCGTACATACCAATGCAATATCTATATACTGTAGCAGTTTCATGCAACTAGTGTCAGTATTGGTCAAGATATTCGACATCAAACACGTCAAAACGACACCTTCGGACATGCATTTGGTGGTCATGATACACATTGAATATTGCCCCAATGACGACGTAACTATATACACAATACATGACTATATGTGTGCCATACATTGCAGTTGATTTCGACATTGTACGATCACTGTAGACCGAGTTATTAACACGCCAAACATCGACTATAATATCCAACCTACAAAACGTCAGCTATTCAATTACTGTGTTATCAAACATGCATGGATTGTATTGAAATTGTACATGATACAATACCAAGTGTATACAAGTATTGTCATGTCACCATATTGACACAGGCTTGCGTATTGGTTGTGAAATCGGCCATTTAATTTGTAATTGTGATGATGCAAATGGTCCACTTTGAACATGTATAACTTGGCCAATAGCAGCTTTGTCCCAGCCATATTTAAACTGGTTGTGTATATAGCATGTATGTATGATACTACATTGTCAAACTGCATTAGTCAATACATTATAAATTAGTGTATTTCATGTTGGACGTTTCAAGACATTTAAAATTCCATCAATATCAGCATGTTCTAACCTTGACAATTAGCGTCTGTTCACAAGCCATTGACAAGCCATCAAGTCGACCAATGCAGTACTATACTAGTTGACATATTCTGCAAATATCGACAGTATTCGTAGAAAAAAAAAACAGAAAACTTGATCTGTTGTAATGTCAACTGACCTGACGACATAGCTTCGGCTGTATATTTTAGCGCTGACATGACCCTGATCACCACCATAATTGACCGCTGCATTAATATATCCGCATTCGGACACTCCAAACGTCATACTAACCACTCGTGTCTGATATTATCCGGACATTCGGACAGGATACCATGTCTGATATTCGGACAATATATCCAACTTTGTCAATATTGATGCTATCGTATTGATATATTGACCATTGTAATATATATACATGATATGTATACAGTCCAAACCACAGCGCAATAAGTCGTGTTTTGAGTGTATACCGACGTGTCCAATTCGATCGACAGTCGTGACTATAACATGTTGTTAGTTTAGTTGACAACATGCCATGATGCATGTCCAATATATAGTATGTATATACATACATGTCCAGTATCAATCGCATGCATGTAGTGTCATTATTCATCGAGATACACGCATTTCCAGTTTCATGTCAAATATTCGTGCTATGTGCAAGTTGTATTTTTTGCATGTATCGCATGTCAACACATGCATGCATTGTACATACCAATGCCATGTGCATATACTGTAGTAGTTTCATGCAACTAGTGTCAGTATTGGTCAAGATATACGACATCAAACACGTCAAAACGTCATTTTCGGACTTTGGTCGGCCCATTCCATGTCAGATATTGACCATAGTGCGTCAGTGACATCATAATTCGATCCGCAACACATAATTACATATATGTGGTGCATACCAAGTCATTTGGTCGACTTTTGTGGTCATAGTCGATATTAAAGTTTTTAGTTTGCAATTGGTTTGAAACGACGAGCTCTACTTGTTATTTTAATCTAGTATCGTGTCTATCAGTCAATCAACAATTTATCTTGTATGCAAATGCGTCAAAAATACATGTAGTATATCGTTCTGATTCGATATTAGTCGGCATTGACACTGTACGACCACTACTGACCAAGTTATTAACATATTATCGACTAGCTCATACTGTCCCAGCATGTCGTCAAGAAAACCATCATATATTACAGTGTTGTGCCAACAAACATGCATGGATTGCATTGAAACTGGACATGATACAATATCAAGTGTATACATGTATTGTCATGGCATCAAACTGGCATGATATCATGTATTGGTTGTGTAATAGACCATAATATATGCCAACAAAACGCTCCAAATCAGGCATGATTATAGTCGTAAATATATTATTGTGACTGTGTTGTTGGACAGTGACTGTCAGTAACTACCAATAACTACTAGTGACTATCAATAACTGTCAATGACCATCAATAACTATCAACAACTGTAAAAACGATCAAGGTT